TTTTGAATTATTTCTGGTCCTTTAAAAATATTACATTTATGGCTCATTTTAAAGAAAACATATATAAATCTTTCAAGCCCAAGAATGTTTGACCAACTGTTTTATAATCACCTGTCATTTTATTCCAAACTTAGACATCATGGACTTGGGGTGAAGGTGGGAGTCATTTACATTTACTATGGGCAGGTCAGTCAGACCTCACCTTTGATCCCTGTAGTAGTAAACATTTGTCTGATTTGTGTCTCATAACTTTTGTACTGTAGAACACAAACTCAGTTTTCTTTCCAGGGAAGCAAGTCCATTCATACTATTACAAGCTCGTACTAAGTCAACTTGTACTACTAACAGTCAACTATTACCAATGTTAACTACCAACTAGAACAACTGCAATCTTTGCGAACTTGTACCACTGCAGACTCACCATTAAAAATATACATTGATATATGCGTTTAAAAACCTTGATAAAATATAAATTATTTGCCTTAATAATTAATTCATTAAATAAACATAAATGTACAATATATGAATGTTTAATGTTTGTTCTTTTAAATCTTTAAAAAAAAATTGAAGCAACATTGCCACAGTTTTCATAATTACGTTTGCCTTGGTTTTTGGTTAACTGCCTACAGCGCTTACAGTGCTTTGATTGATGTCAGTTGACATTTGGAGGGGAAAGTTCCTTTAAAGAATTGAAAAATTTGCATAATAATCCCAATTCAGATTTTGTTCTTGTATTTTGAAGAATGTGGATATTTTCAATTAAAGTTGAATGGAAATTAAAGTTTTGAAAATACATTTGCAAATAAATCTGTCTAAAAAATGATAAGAATAAAACTACTTGTAAGTTGTAAATTATAAACAACTCAGTATAACTTGCATAAACAGTGTTTACAACATATAACTTTTTTAAGTCAACTTTATTAGGATTTCTTGTTGGAAAAAGTAGCTATCGATCCATAAATTTGTGACCTTTCAGAGTTTAAAAAAACCTTTTAAGTCTACTGCATGAAGTCTTGTCCTAATTTATTTTGTCCCAGAATCAGAAAACAGGTTATTTCACGTAAGAAGGTCTTGAAATTATTTTAAAGGCCCAGAGAACTAGTGGATTTTTAACCTCCATGTCATTAGGTGGGGTTTTTCTTTTGTTATAAAAGTTTTAAGAATCATTTGTTGTTATTTTATTTTAAATGACTCAGTGTCTGAATAAGTTCAGAGAGCAAAATTTTAAATAGATCAGTTGGAAAAACTTTTAGCCATTAAATTAAACCCCTGGTCAGTGCTTTTCACCGTACTTTTAGTCCTTGCTGACCTAATGATCTGAAGCATACAGACCAGACACAAATCAAATCCCAACTGTTCTTTCTTCTTTCGGCCACCACAGTGTTGTTCATCCAGTAATTTGTTTTAAATGGATAGATAATAAGGGTAGGATAGGAAGACACTGTTTATTTGCATGTCCACAGTGATAATGATCCATTTAAAATTGACCTGTTGAACTGCAACATAATGGTCAAATTCAAATTTGAAATAAATTGTGAACATTTTTCTCACAACTTTTAGAAGTGTTTGTGTTGTAATTTGTTTCCAATGACAGGTTGATTTGTGTAAGGTGAAGAATTACACTATTTTCTACCATGTCCAATTTGAAAGAAGAGTTAGAATTATATGGAGGAACATTGCAATTTCCTGGACAAATTGGTTCTGAGATTGATTATTTTAATGTTCTTGTTAAAATTGAAATTTTATGGACACTATGGTGTGATTCTTGACCTGTGGTCATCTGAATGAGACTTTATAATCATCTTTGATGGGACCATTTCATGGTAAATTCTATGACCCTGAACTCCTCATTGCATGAAATGTTTCTAGCAGATTATAAGAGTCATTAAAATTGGTCAGAAGTTTATCCAACCAATTTACCACTGGCTTGAGATTTAAGAAACTCATTTCAAACAACAAGGGAATGGTATCCTCAGAATTTAAAGTGACAGTTGAAATTAATTAAAAAATTTAATTTCCTTGTCTGGACAAGATAAATTGAGTTACGTGGTTTATGATGTCCAGTGTTATCAGTGGTCAATGATTTATGGACAAATCCCTTATCACAGATTGACCATTAGTTTGAGATAAAGGACAAGTTTTGGCAGATCCATTAATTACTTGAAATGCAGAAATAATCATCTATAATGCCTTGATATGTCTGTTCAAATAAACTTTGATTTTCTGCAACATAACACAGGAGGTCAATTGATAATGAACATTTGGAGGAAATTTCATGGAAAGTTACAGTGGTGGATTTCATCAAAAAGTTGATAATTTGAAATATTTAAACATTGAAAAAGCAAATTAAAAAAAAGAATACAAAATTATTAAGCGATCTCTTTTGTAAATGTTTCTTCATCTGTAAATTTTTAGTTTTTAAGATAGTTGAAGAAGTTGATGTGAAAAAATTTGAACACCTGCTCCAGATCAAGTCCTTGAGATACAAAAAAATTTCATGGTCGAAGTCATGCCAAATATTTTTAATTAAACACTATTTTGTGAATTCTTGTAGGGTTCTTGGCAAATTATCTGGGAATTCAAAATGTTCCCACAAGTATAGTATTACTTTCTATAAATGTGAAAAAAGCATTGAAGAATATTACAAACAAAGTTTGGAATAGGATTGCCCAGCAATGGCAATATTTATTACTTTTAGAAATGGTTAAAAGTTGATATTCGAATGAAATAGGAAAGTCTTGTGTGGTTATAAATGTAGTTGTGTTTGATGTGTCATTTTCATATATTTTCCCAACATCTCCTTGAACTCGTCCTGAACATGCAAGAAATATTTGCCACTGGATGTTAAGCAACCAACAATTAATCAATTTAGGATCTAATGACAGAAAACTACAATATCACTTTGTAATTGTTTTATTTTCTCTCTGCTTGTGGATAACATTTGTACTGGCAGGATTTTAATTCAAAGCATGGAAACTTCCATGATCAAAATATGGAACTGTTTATACAGTAATAAACATTGCAGTTGATCAGAAAGCATCTGGCATTTATACAATGGAAATACTAACTCAGCATCCCCAACATCTGTTTAGGGGCCAATAGCACCTGATAATCTCCAGGCCTAATTCTATTGCTGGGTTACATCATCAAAAACTAGAAGACCATTCTCTTTCCCCAAAAAATCAATTTTGGATATAATCTTATTAGCAGTACTATTCATTGTAGTGTGAAACCACCCTGGAAGTCATAGGGGCAAACTTGTGAAATTTGATTCAAACTGACAATTTTAGCCTCATTATAGATACATATACTACCCTAAGGCCATGAAGGTCTATAAAGCTCTCTGACTTCAAAGGACACCCTCATAAAAAGTCCATTTTACAGTTAATTAAATGATTTGTTATGTCCAGAATGATGACCATCTTTGTCCAGTAAGCTTTGACCAGAGGCTATTGTTGTGGACAGTTATGTTGATATTCAGATAGCTTTTCCCATAATTTAAATGTTTGATTTTATCATAAAGAGTATATAATTACAATTTGCTCTGACTGTGTGTCATTATTTTGTATTAATGGGGAATGTTTTAGATTTGATAAATATTTATTTGTCTGTGGACCAACAGAAGTAACTTCTTTATATGCCCTTTATGAAAAGAATTATTTTTTTTCTTTATGTAAGGATAAATTTGTGTTTCTTCTTAATAATTTTTCTGAGTTAACTTGCTTTGAGAGAAAAAAGGAGTTGGTTTAAAGATGCCATAAATTTCGTCCAGTTGCAAATGGGTTAATAAAAAAATTGAACTTTAAAAATTTCAAACTATGTGGTGAATGATGTGTTTATGAATCTTGTGAAATTAAACAGAAATATATTTTGTATATGGGAATTTTGACAATTTCATCATGGCTTGAATAATTGTTAATTCACTTAATTTTTTCAAATACATGTAGTTTACAGATATATAACATTAAACTTATCATTTGTTTTGGAAATGGTTTATAAAATCTATTAGTAATTTTGATTAGAAGTATGTTGCAGATGACCAAAAATGCATGAATGAGTATGTTGCTAGTTAAATTCTACTATCTGATTTTTCACAGCTATCACCAAAGGTTAGGATGGACATAAAATTTTTCTAATAGTTTCTACAGATGATACAAATGATCATTTTCTTAATGTTAATAATTTTAGCAAATGGAAAAATAAAATTTAGTTTTCTTCTAGCAATTATCTAAATTTTATATTCATCTATTTTGAAAATGATTGGTATTACAGCATTAGAAGTTTCCTTTGAAGTTTTATTTTTGATTTTTATTAATTTTGCACTGATATAAAAGTTGCCAGTAATTCTTTTCTTATTGATTTTACAGATGTTAAGTGCTGGTCAATTGCCATTAGCTGACCATTGAAAGTTAAAAAGTACAAATGATTTATTTTTTTCAATGGCTCTGACTTCAGCTTGACCCTCTCTGTTTTATTCATACCAGATTTTGATTGAAATCTGTTGACAATAAACTTGCGATTTCACACTGACCAGTCTTTTCATGGCATCCCAGGGTATTCAGTGACAAAAGTAATAAACAAAGGGAGAGAACCCAGTAGGGGGTTTACACACACTCACTGTTATGTGTTATTTTGACTTGGTGCAATTGACAGTGTCAACAGTAATGGGATTTGGGGAGAGTCCATAAAAGCTGGAGGTTTTATTGACTCCATTAAACACAGTTATATTTTGTTAAGTGACCAGTTGGTCTTGTTGTGAAAATTTAACTGGATTTTTTTACCACCAAATATCTGATTTGGTTGTTTTTTTCTGGATTGAAAATGACATTCTGTAAGTTTAAAAAAAAACAAAATGTGATTGATAAGTATTTTTTTAGAACTGAAATGAAACTTTGATATACATTTGTATAATTTAGAATGTGAAATAGGTTCAACATACAGAAAAGATGATATTAAAGAAAAGTGATAAATTATATCTTTTTTTAATTTTAAAATGTAAAATGAAATACAAATGTAAGAAATATGTAAAATGGAAAAGAATATTTGTATACAGTTTACTGTAAGTTGTATACATTGTATGTGTGTATAAAAGTAAGAATTTAACTAAAGTAATGACAAACTTTTAGAAAAAGTATGTTGATTTATGAATTAATTCCAATATGGGTAAAAAAAAACCAACTCAAAACACAACCACAAATCTGTAACTTTTTACCACTGTAGTCAGTTGTTTTCACTTTTTGAAACTCCAATAATTGCTTTATAACTTAGACATGAGGGAAAAATTTGTTAGTATTGAGTATAATGATTACTTTTTACAGGTTTCACCATGAAAACTATTTTAACTAGGTTACAATATTGAATTTTCTATTTTCAGCCTATGACATGTCTACACCCACCCTACGCCTCAGGCAGTCAGAGGCACAGAAAAATGTCTGCAGACTGCGTAACTGTATGCCAGAAAAATTTCAGACTCTGGTACGAATGCACTTGTCATTCCTGTTAGACTTGGATGGATCTAAACTCGATGAAATGTTTTCAGAAAATAAGCCAGCAGAAAGAACAGAAACAAGAAAGAATAAATCTTCCACACCATTTTCTAGAAAGAAAAGTAAGACTTATAAACTTAAATTATTTTTTCAAGTTATATTTTGTATTTAGGAATTGCTATATTGTCCTTAATTGTATGGAGGGAAAAATCATCAACAGAAATTGAGAGATTATTGATTCTGTTATAATAATCTTGATTGTTCTTTTGAAGCACTTTGGTCATCATTTAATTGTTTGTTTATTTGAAAATTCTACACAATTCTGCAGTGTTAATATGATATTGCTATGCAGTGTATAAATGTTATCAGTGACAAAATTATTTCCCTTGTTGAATAATGAATATCTTGTTGTATTCAGTAAGATATGAAGAAAAGTTAGTCACAAGTCAGAGTAATGAAGCTGATAACAAATTAAGAAAATACAAAATCTTTGTAGCTAAATGGCACAGACAATGACAGAATTCTTTTAATATACAACTAGTTAAAATGGTTAATATCTTATTGATTTCATTTCAGGTGATAAACAGGGTCATTTATTTGGTTCACCACTGACATCAGAAAATGTAGCCATTATCTACAAGCTGATAGAATTTCTAGGTAGACCAGAAAGTAAGTACATGTATATATGATAAATATGAAAATACCATTCCTCTGCAATTCCAAGAAATGATGCTTAATCAATTTGGTTTTATTTCACAGATTTGAAGTGACTAGTTAAACAAAAGGACTTTTTACTGGGGTAGTGTTACATTTTTGGAATTCTATTTGTTTAAGACAATGGTTGAGTAACAGCACTTTTGCTTCACTTATTAAAGTAGCAAAAATATTTAAATTTGTTTTCTAGGAAAGTGGCAATAAATTTCCAGGAAATAAATTCAATTTGCTCTACCTTATCTCAGCTATGGAAAAATGACTACCATTTATGGGGTTCCTTTAGCTATTGAAAATTATTGTAATACTATAGAATATCTTTTATGTGGGACATAAATATAATATGATCATACTGGCTTTGGTGGTTAGGATGGTTTTGTGTACTGTCCAATATTTAATGTAATTCAAGTTATGCTTTATATGTATTATTCTGCTAAAACATACTTATTATAAGCTGTGTGTAAAGCTTTGTTGTGAAATTAAATGTTACCAAAGTTGATTAGCAATTTTTATAAAGTCCTGGCATGTTGCAATTTTCTTAAATAGAAATTCTACGTATTACAGATATTACTACAGAAGGATTATTCAGGAAGACTGGTAATGTTGCCAGACAAAGGTTGTTAAAACAATGGTTGAGTGACGGCTCTTTAACGTCTCTTGACGATGGGACTTTTTCTCACCATGATTGTGCTACAGTGCTAAAGAATTACCTTGGAGAATTACCAGATCCTTTACTTACAGAAAAGAATTATGAAGCTCATCTTCAAATTGTTGGTAAGGGATTGAAACAAACCCTTTCTGTATAATTCATTATATGGTCTGTCCATTAGAACAGCATCTGATGGTATTTGCATATTGACCAACAAAGGATCTATTGCAACTGTTATAACAAGCCAAAATAGAAACATATTTTTGAAATATCTTGAATCTTAAAATTGATCAAAAAGATAATTGCCTGTGCAAGCTATTTAGGAAGTAGAAATCACAGATTTTTTTAGTCACTGTACAATGTAAAGCAGAGTAAATATATCAATATATTCAGTACACATGTACAGTTCCTTACCAGGTCAAATTTGTTAGAAAACCTTACTCACACACTGTATTACAATTTAGCCATGGAAGGAAAGATTTATTTCAATTCACAATGTTATGGAAATTTAACACAATGATTTTTGGTGAAAAGTAAAAAAATGTAGAAATTTAATAAAAATTGAAAAGTGTTTATGACTTAGATGTAATAAAGTGCAGATTACACAAATGTCAGAAAACACTGTAAAAAGTCCCAAAAATGGATTTTAATGTGCCCTTCTTTGAAACTTCAATAGTTTAAAATTGTTACATTTGACTTTTTTTTCAGAAATGGGATCAAATCTAGTGCTAGATAAAGACAAAGCTAAGGCTCGGTCAAAACAGTTGAAGACCCTCCAGTTGTTATTTTTATTACTACCTCCAGAAAATTCACTTCTCCTGGAATGTTTGATTGATCTATTACATAAAGTAACCAAGACGAGTGGAAACATGATGACAGCTCAGTCCCTCGGAACTCTGTTTGCTCCCCATTTATTGTGCTCTAGAAAGGTAAGGAACACTTAAAAAGAAAGAATTTAAATAAGGAATTTTAAGTTTAGCATGCTTAAAATTATATGTAGTATTAATCTTCATATATTTTTATAAAAGAAAACTTTTTAAATGATTTCTGGTTATTCTGTGTTTGGATATATATTTATATATATATATTTGTATGTTAAGTTTTAGAAACAAATGGCAAAACAATTGTTGGAATCAGAAGAAAAGATCAAATGACTTGAAATGTGCAACTCGTTTATGAACAAATTCACAAAATTCATTAAGAAAACACATTTGAAGAACTATTACTTGTTTGAACATGTACAGTTTGCAAACATCAATAAATTATTGAAAAGAAATTGAAAAAATTTAGATGTAATTTAATGGATTTTCCAAAGGCATAAAAAGATAGCATCTTTATGATCATTGCATCAGTATAAAAAGTTATTCAATAAACTTGATTTGTTTAAAATTTAGATAAGTAAATGAAGTAAACTTTTTGAAGATACTACTAGTAGTCCTTTGATTTATTGTATTGTTGTGTTGGTAACTCATTGCAATTCATATCAATATCATTATGAACTGTACGTTTTAAGTGGAACACATTGTCATATATCCTTTGATTGTTTTTCAGTTAAGTGCTTCAGAATTACAGTGCATATCACCAGTTGTATCTAAAGCTGTAGCGTTCATGATTGAATATGGTCCTTCTATATTTAAGGTAAGAAAATAAAACAATGGCAAAAGATAGGGCATATAAAGAGGAACACAATATTTTGGTGAAATAATATTTCTTACTTTCTAGTTTTAATATGAGATTACAATAACATTTCAGCTGATTAATTTTGAAATTTTATTGAAATTGAGCCATTATATTGCATAAAAAAAATTTCCTGAAGCCTAAACTGGAGATGATGTCTGCTTTGAAAATTTAAGTCTGTGGTAATAAGATAATTTAATTTCACAATGCAATTAAAAACTTTTGATGATTTGTAAAGATTGTCTCCCTTAAGTTTTATTTAACTGTTTAAACAGTAGTTTGTTGCAAAGAAAATACATGATATAAAAAGAATCCACTTTTCAGGTGTATCTTTCATATATGATTCTTAAACAATATTTGTCAATTTTTACAGATCCCAAAAGAATTAGCAGTAGATGTAGCCAACTTTTGGAAACAGATGGAAACACCAAATAAATACACCCAGAAAAATGAAAATAAGGAGAATTTGTCTACCAAGGTGAGTTTGGATTTTAGAATTTTTAACATTAAATAAAAACCAAATCAGGGAACATTTGATGTTTGAAAAGCAATGAACATGTTGGCACAGAATGACATGAATTCAACAATTTGCTACAAATAAATTATTTGATAAACATTTTCAGAACAAAAATTGTTTTAAAACCATCATGATTATATAAGACAGGTACTGGGGATTCGATAAGTATTCATTTGGTATTACTTTTCCAGGATTTTATGGTTACAATTAAACCATGAATTTTACTGTTGATGTTAATGTGATTGCCGACATTGTGACTTTGATTACAATCATTACAAAGCTATTTCTGTCCCTAAGTTTGAAAAAGAAAATATTTGTAATTTTGAAACTTTGTGATGGCATGTATTAATAAAATTAATCATTTCCTTTATCCATTTTCAGAAGTTAGCCACAACATCAGCGACAGCTATAGACACAGTGTTTACATTTGTAGACAGAAAGTCGTCATCAGACTCTGACACAGATACACAGGTGGCACTGGCTAAATTGTATGCACATGTGCAATCTATGCCTGAGTCAGCAAGGAAGAAAAAACTTCTTAAGCAGGTATGCTATGAATAAAAGGATAAATGGAGATCTGGGGTTTACATTATTTAGACAGAAATTCAACAAATTAAAAAAAAAATTAAGAAGGACATTCAGTGATCGAACACCTTAGATAAATTTGATTAATTCTTATCAGATAACCAGAAAAATTGATCGATTTTGAAAATTTGATAGCGTACGTTTTATTCATGTAAATTTTGTCTCTCAAAAGTCTAAGGCATGCTGTAGCCAGCATAAACAATTATTTGAGTTTGTGATTAGGTCACTGTGACACAACATAACTCTATAACAACATTTCGCATTCAATATAGATCTCTTAAATCTTTATACCAAGTTTTAATTTGATATGGCAGCAATGATTTATACTTCAACCCACATTTATCTTTATTCTTTAAACATTAAACTTAAAAATATGATTTAAGATTGAATTATTGAAATTTATTTCAGTTTAATAATGCCAATGGTTTGAATGAGAGTTGTGCTAAACCCAGGAAGCATCACAGAAGTAGAACTTTTGGAGAACAAATTAAGGTAGGCATTAATTATCACTTTTACAGGATGGAGCATGTTTATGTTAACCCATTTTCTTGGAAAGGGTCAGTTCTGTTAGATTTTATTATGATTTTTTTTTCTTTAAATGTCAGATGCTGAAAGAAAAATTGATCAATTAAATCTAAGTTGCCTGAATGAAGCTGTTTCAGTATTGAATTCATTGTCAAACAAGTTTGATAAATTATTGTAATATTAAAAAAAATATGTATTTTAAGATTTCATGTGCACTTCACAAGTTTGTTTAATAACACTCATCTGCCAGGTACTAAATAAAACATCAAAAAACTGTTTTAAGTCATTACACATAAAGACACTAAATATTTTAATCCGTTTCAATTAAATTTTACTTGATATTTTAAAATTGTTATATTATATTTCTCATTTTTTCAGAAGAGGTTTAGTCGACATAAAAGAAGGGGATCAAATGACCCCAATGAGTGTACTGCTGGCCTGCCATGGACACTTACAAAGGTAAGAAAATAGTAGTTATTATACCTCTTAAAAGACTACAGAGGGTTGTAGTTTATTCTGGTTTATATTTTTCCGTCATTGGTTTTTTTATCGAGAACAACAAAACAGAATTTCCTGAATTTGGATTCAAGATTTATGTGAGCATGCATTTTGTGTGATGCATTTTCACATCTAGTGATACATTCTTACAAACCAAAACAAATTTCATCATATTTTTCTCAGGAACGACTTTTAAATTAGAGCATCCTAAAATGTGGTATCAAGCTTCGTGTGAGCATGCTATACTGTGTGATGCAGTTTCACATACATTGCTAACTGACTTCCTTTTTACTGAATACTTACAGCTGGGGTTTCATTAGTTTTGTGAGCTAGACATCTTGGTTTATTTTGTTATTTCAATGATTAAGTTAATGTATGAAAACATTGTCTAAAAAACATATGGTGCTGGTCTCAAATTATCTGGTTCTCTCTTTTGGTTTTATTCATTGCTTACCAAGGCTTTAGGTGGTTAAAGAGCTTGTCATATGATTTGCTATTAGTATAAGCCCATCATTAAGGACAGTGTTGTGATCTCTTATTGTCTATTTTTATGAATATATTTCTTGCTCTTTGACATTTATTCAGTAGTACCATTTATTCATGGTGGTTTTTTTTTCTTTCCAGCCAATTAATATTGATGAGAATGATAACTTAGATAATGTGTTCACTGAAGACAAATCCTCATCAAAATTGAGAATACTGAAAACAGTAAGTACAGATATTTGTGTAGTTGAATATACACTGTTGATCATATCAAAGGTTCATGCAAGGTTTCAACAGTGACATACAAATCGTAAAATTATGATTTTGAGAGTTTAGTATGTTTTTTCTAACAGTTTTTGATCCTTCTTACTGTCACATTATTTTCTGTGCATATATAAGATTTTGAACCAAACTTTATTTCTGGACCATCATTTGCAAATGGATCAAATGGTAATTGGTTTACCAGTGTTGAGTTAAGTCTTCAAAGTTAGGTTCCAATTCAATACAGTAAAACTAAATTACTGTCAAAGAAGTAATATTCCAAATTTAAAGTATTATAAAAAAAACTGTTCTTTGTCTAGAATATTGCATATACATTTCTGGTTATTAATTTTCAGCCAAACAGTCCTGCTGTGCACATAGTTGACCTCTGTAAATCACCTGCCACACCCAGAAACAGGACCCCTAAGGCACGGAAACGTCTGAGTAGTGGAAGTAGTGATGGCAGCATACCAGAGAAACGTCCAACACCAGAACCTATCCCGTCAATAGAGAATGAAATACAATATTTGATCAAGAACCCACCAGAAACCCGAGTGTTACGATTTACACCAGAGCTTCATGGGAAGCCTGTTGCTATGGTGTCCCCATTGTCTTTTTCACCTATATCCAACACCTTCAAAGACTGTCCACAAGTTATGAAGGTAAATAGTACTTATTTGTTAGTCTTTAAAAATAAGAAGAAAGCTTCTTGTATTTTTCACTTCACCCTTTCCTCACTGAACGCAACAGTCCACATAAAAAATGTATATGGTTTATGTGTCCATTTTGCTTTTGGTTTTGTCCACCTGTTGTATCCCTAACTCCTATTTAAAAGACTGTCCTAGAATTTCTTGAAACTTCAAAACTTTCAGAAAATCTTCAAGATCATTGTGCACCTCCTTTTTTTTATTTTACTTGCTATACATTTAAAGTTTTCAATAGTCAAAACAATGACTTTACCGTATCTTCAACAATGGCAATAGGTATAGGCATTTTGTTATCTTTAAAATTTAATATGATTTACACAAGAAAAATAAGTATTGTAAACAGCAACTTTAATAGTTCAATATTTTAGAATATCTTTATATGATTTTTCAGAAAGCAATGAATACACCACGATCAAGAGCTCCAGTGATGGCAATGCCTCTCTCTCCAAGTTTGAAATCAAGAGAAAGTCAACTGTAGAGAGTTCTGGTCCAGGGAGATAACTCAATGCCATAAATAGTGCTATAATATCAGGAGAACAATGTAAAAATACTGTTAATTTAATACTCAAAGTTTTATTATAAAATGTACATAGTTATCAATTGTATATACAGAAAAATTGTACAAAATTTTTAAAAAGGAGAGAAAGACAACAGTAAAGCATTATGATTAAATTTTTAGAGATTTTCACAGAGTGAATTAAAATGTGCCCATGATAAGTTAAATATACTTTCTAAATATATTATTATTGTATTATTTTTCCATATTCTGATGGAATTCAGTGACTTAATTATTTCAAAGTAAAATTTCTGATGGTATGCAAGTTAAGACACCAAATGATGATTTGTGTCAAAAAATTTACGATTTTGACAATAATAAGAAGGAAAAAACCAATAGATATTATTGTTCTTATGCAAAATTTAAATTTCAATATTTGAATTACCTGACACTGTTACCAGCCTTTTTTAATTAGTTTTATATTAAGATGGCTTTCAGTTCAATTGCAAAATAACTTTTTATTGTTCAAGTACTTAAAAGCTTGTAGTATTATTTGTTTAGGATGTGTGAAGCTTTTGTTATTGTTATGTGGTAGAGTTACAAATAGATATATTTAAGTGTTTACTGTTTTGTGTAGTGATGCATGGCATCTTCTGATTGGTGTGTAAATGTATGTTATATTTGTAAATTTGTAAGACTTAAGTCTGTATGTTTCTTCTGTGTAAAGAGGTGGAACATTTATGTCTGATACTGATTTGTTAACTTCACAGGTTTAAAGGTGGGATTCCATGTTAATTGTGATCTACAGATCTTGTATTCTAATATAAGCTTTTTTACAAATAGTACTGTAAAATGTGTTACATTAATTGTTAAAAAGATTTAAGAATAATTTAAAAAAAACGCTTTGATATGATATTAATCAGGCTATAACCAGTCAGAGGTCTGTACTCAATTTTTCTGGCTTGAATATTCTAAAGAAGCATAGATAGGAGCATAATAGTTATAATGGGACTCAACCTATATAGAACCTTGCAGTAAATAATTATTATGATTAAATTTTATATATGCATGATATGGGAAACATGAGCTGAGTTAAAATTTGATAAGATACTTCCAAACCATGCAATAAAGGATGAAATTTGATATAAAAAATCCTTGTAATTGGTTCAAATGGTTTGATATACTGTGGGTTCATTAATATATAAGTGGATACAAATTTCGTGGATTCTGTGGGTAGAGGTGATCCACAAAATTAGATGTTTAAGGAAGTGGCTATTATTTATAGACTTATATGCAGACTTTTGCAAAACCACAAAATCAAATATCCATGAAAATATGAATTTTCCTCAATACACGAAAATTGGTACTCACAAAAATTAAATGAATCCACAGAATTGGTATAAATGATATAAATGTTCCACACTGTACTTAGACATTCCTTTTCTTCGTCTGTCTTTCTGATTTCTGTATTCTTTAGTGCTAATTTCTACATGTACATAGACTTGTATGATATATTGTAAACAAAGCATGCAACCTACTGCTTATGACATGACCAGATCAAACGGGTATTAACAATAGCATGGATAGACAAACCTAAAAGGTGTTAAGAAACTTTTGAATAATTTTTTTGTTTGTTCAAGGATAGTTTTATGAAAATGATACCAGAATTGATTTTCAAACTTTTTATATATAGTTCTTTTTATTTCCTTTTTTTGTTTTTGAATATAAGAATCAGAAAACTTATAACAACGCTTTGTGTTCAGGTTTGTATTTTTAATGATATTTCATGAATTAATGGTTGTTTTTTTAAAGCTGCCAAGAAAAGAATTGTTCAGTATCTGTTCATTATCACATATCACACATATATATGTAGTTGAATACGATACATTTACTCATCACACATCACAGGTATATGTAGTTGAATATGATACATTTACTCATCACATATCACATATATATGTAGTTGAATATGATGCATATCTTATCACACATCACATATATGTAGTTGAATATGATGCATATCTTATCACACATCACATATATATGTAGTTGAATATGATGCATATCTTATCACACATCACATATATATGTAGTTGAATATGATGCATTTCTTATCACACATTGGTCACATATTTATCATGTTATCATTGTACCATGTCTTGACATGTAGAACATTAAAATCATGTAAAAATATTTGTCTTCTTGCATTTTTGTTAAGATATTCCAAAGTAGAGGTGTTTGAATAACACTTTCCTGGTTATTTTTTAGTTATCGTTTTTAGTTTCAGGAAGTGAATTTGCATGGTTGAACAGCTTTATCATATTTCATTTTAAACATAGTTCTGTTTAAAAAATATCGAGGTATTTGGTACACATGTTTTCTAAACACATTGTTTTGATTAAGTCCTTTGTCAAGTAATAAATGGATATGTAGTAAAAAAATTCACTTGTTTTGTGGCAGTTAAATTGTACAATATTTGGAAGTTCCTTTAGATGGCAAAATGAATTTTACATCTGTTGGCAGCATTTACATCATGAGCATATTTCACATGTGGCCATATTCAGATTCATAAGTCAGACAAAAAATTCCATTGTTAGAACATCATAAATACTTCTAACTTCAACAAAAAGGCATACAAATGTTACCAATAATGCTGCGCTCTGATAAACTCTTCCAGAAAAAGGCACTGCAGATGCGGATCCAGGATTTTGAAAAAGGAGACCCTGCAGGCCCCAAACTAGACAATATTTGTAGTGGAAGCGGTAAAAAGTCTGGATTAAGCATAAATGAAGCTCCATAAGGGGGCCCAGGCACCCCCCTAAAACTGCCCCTGCACTGCACTATTTACATAAATTATTAAGTAAAGAACAAACATTGATTTGATTGCCTGAAATACTGATGGATTCACACCTTCAATTATCCATTGATAAATGTTGCTGGAATGGATATCTAATACTTATTTCATACCAGTATTCGATCGAACCTTAACATTTTGATTCAACTTCATACATGGGGTGGATGCAATGGAGGTTTCTATTGTGTATATAACAATTGGAAACCACATAAATGAGACCATCATATATTTAGCAGGGTTATACGAGAAAGAAAAGCAATATCAATAACTATACACTGATATATATGTACTCACAAATTTCAATGTGGAAAAAATGCAATATACAATTAAAAAAAATCAAAATACATTGACAAAACATTGATTTTGAGTCAACAGATGAATTAGTGATTGTCAATTATTAACTGGAAATTCAAAGATCTTCAGTTAAGGAAAAGACGATAAAACGAGTATGAATGAAAAAAACATATATATATATAATCGATGCTATTGATTTGTGGCGTGAATAAAATTGAAGACACTTTGCTTCAAACCATCGGAAAAATATTGCGTAGTACGTTAGTTTTGTGGTTTTAAATCTTGACTGTGCCCAGCATAATATCATATCTTTTTTATCTGACTCATTAAGAAAATTCTTAGAAAAATCAAAATATTGAACCTGTTTGTATTTTAACAAACATGTTGGAAGTCTTTGGATGTCCGTTTTGATAATTGAAATATTTGTCTCCCATATAGATTTGTCCTTCAGTCTATTTAAAATCATATCTGTTATGACATATGTATTTAGAAAAGAGTCATGCACTAAATCTGTAGAACAAATTATGACAATAGCCTTATATCGTCTTGTCTGGAAGGAGAGAAGTTAAAAGTGTGTATACCGGATATAGATTTTGATGTAAATGTACAATCCATCAAACTTAATTCACAAGCTACAAGTACAGCATTATCTTTTATTATACTTTCATGTCAAAATGCGGGATGCTGATTCAGTATAATAAAGTAAATAATACATAGCTGAAAGGGTGATAGAGCATATTGTTACCCCTCGAAAAGACATTGTCAACCTTGGCTTCGCCGCGGTTGACAATGTTTTCTATGGGTAACAATCTGCTCTATCACCCTCTCAGCTATGTGTTATTTATATATTATTATACTTCATGTCAAAATGCGGGATTCTGATTGGTTAATACGAGGGAGATAATTTACTCTATCCCATGGCAAAAACTCTATTACCCTTCACGGAGACGCTTTATCATTTGTGCACTTTACTAAATAGGGATGGTTGTTATGTACAAGAGGTTATAGTCTATTACTTTGAATTGGAAATTTAACAGACAGTATTAACAGAACATTCAGTATAATAAAGTAAATAATACATAGCTGAGAGGGTGATAGAGCAGATTGTTACCCCTCGAAAAGACATTGTCAACCTTGGCTTACAATATTGTATTGTCTTTCGTTTTCAGCTGATATCAAAAGGCAGTCAATATCATTTATGAAATCAGAAAAATGTTCCACTTTCTTTACCTTGCTGAAAAGGTTCATGAAAACCGAAGCAAAATAGAAAACGTAATTATACAGTTTTGTCACTAGTAGCCAACCCATGATGAAGAAAAATAATAAAAGGGTTCCTTCAATTCCTTGACGAATAGTCAACAGCCTTTCCTCGTCAATTATATCCGAAATAGAAGGAAAGTTATTTTCGGAAAATTTCTTTGATTCTTTTTTGTAAAAGATTCGACCAGGATGAACTAAATACCGATGTCTTAATATGATTTCTTCTTCGTCAATAAAACGCCTGTTTGTTGATGTTTCCTCAAACAATTTGCGGACAATACTAAGATAATGTATTCAGTACAACTTTGAGGTGTCAGACCACCAATTAAATATTCCTATCTGTTCAATCAAATTTTGCAATATTCACAGCTTTCTAAATATTTTACCTAAGTTTAACTTCATAGAAACCAGGTATATCCTGAATTGTACACAAAAAGAGGTACTCCAAAAATAACCACTGGTTTTCTGGAAGTCTTAAATTAGTATACTATGGAGCGCATTAATCCTCAATTTTCAATGCAAACTCATAAACAAGTAAATTTTGGCTCAAAATGGTCTAAATATATTTCTCTTTCACCAAAAATTTCATTTCTGCAAATTTGTTGGTTAGTTTAAGTAAACAAGTACACCAAAGGGAGTAATTGGTGGTCTGACACCTAAAGAGACAAAAAAGTTGATCAGAAATCTTTTGTTTTGCTTTATTCTTAATCCTTAGTCAATTTGTAGTTAAAAACAGCCTTTCTGAGCATAATGGGACTTATATTACAAGTTTCACAGCTCAATTTAAACTGACTGTAATATATGACTTTGATAGAAAATACTTGAAAATTTCATTTTGGACTACAGGAACATAAACTTACAATATCAAGATCAGTTTTTGTTGATTTTTCCTTGTTTGTTCTACTTCTTTAAAGACTTTCCACAATTTTAACAATGAGTCTAGTAAAAAATCCAAGGTATTGAAGAGTCAAGGAATACTGACCCCCCCCCCTTTTCACCTGGTGTCAGTAATGGGACTATTAACTAACCAAAAGTGCGGTCATGGTCATTGAACTGTTTTTATTTACTATCAGTCAATAAAATTTAAGGTATAAAACTTTCATTTGAGATTATAAATGGGATTTTTGTGAGTTTATGCAGTGTTTTCATCAGGCTATGTTATCTGCGATAAGTTTACCTAAAAAAAAATTCGCTTCGCTCCGCTCGGCGAAAATTTAAGTTTGCGCCACCTTAACATAAAATCCTGCATCGCCCCTGTCGATTGTAGTATTTCAAGGAACTTAATCCGGAATAAAGAGACAACATGTGCAGACAAAACAGAAAGTTAGTGTCGTTGTATATCGGTCACTCCGTCAAGGTATGTTAATGAATCCCCAACGTTGTACCAAATGATTCATCTTTGAGGTTCGAATCGTCGAATGTTAAAAGTGTTTCGTCGATAGCCCTTTCAACGACGGAACCGATGCCCATCCTATCGCCCTCTATTTAGCTTATTAATGAGGATATCACTGTCAAAATGCTTATTTTCGGAACGACTGCTTGATACAGGGTTGTGAACGATGACATGATAAATAATGTATCGGAAACGATTTCTGTAGAATTCCCACTTGGTAAAGATGGAGCTGCATTACCGACGGCTTCTATTGAAATAATTTTTACGTAAGATTCCTTGGCATCTATATAATTTGTGATTGTCCATAGTTGTACTCGTGTTAACTGTTGGTTGGATTTTAAAAACTTTTGATATTGTAAAAAAAACCAATCCTTTGCTGAAGACTGCATGTTTATCTGTTGATGTCTTTTTTAATTTTTTTTTAAAGCAAAAAAAAAACAACTTATGGAAAATACAAATAATATTGAACATACATTAACATGCAACAACTTTAAAGGAAAGATTAATATCAATATATTTTTTTTATTGGTTTTGTTTTGGTGTGTATCATATTTTATCGATCATTTTGACATTTGTAGGATACAAAATATACTCGTTCCTTATCTCGGCCTCTTTAAACATTGGTAGTATATACTATTTTGATTTGGTAAGTACATATTAGTTATCTTAATTCAAAATATACATACATTTTTAAGTTATAATATATCTATTTCCCCCACCTTAGTAGCAATATACCAATTACATTTGTACACCTGCATATGGGATATACATTTGCCAACTCATTCAGTATTCAAGAGCCTGGAACTGTTACTTAGACTTTGTAAACTTACCATGCTGCCACATCAAAGTTTTTATTTTATCTTACACGCCTAAACGTGTGACAACTTTTCGACACACCTTCTCCATCAGATAACACGTGGTAATACGGGACTATATATATATATATATATATATATATATGTACGTCTAAACAATTGACAACTCTACTTCAGATCCATCCATTAGATCACCAATGAAGGTGATACACGTCTGAAAACACATATAATATTCATAATTACTCTAAATATCAGCACAACAATGTTAAATCTGCAAATATGTATACAAATCTGCTAGTTGATACGATATCCCAGAGCTTGTGTTTCCTGACATGATTTTTCCTTGATAGAGGGTTGCTGTTTACAAGGAAGCTATTGAACCAAGGATTTAAAATGATGAAGTTGAAGTCGTCACCTTAAGAATTTTATGGAGTTGGTTGGCCGTTTTGAAATATCTATGTCACAGATGAACACGAATATGTTCAAATTGTCATAGCCATAATCCCGTCCTCTTTTCCTCGACTTGTGAAATCACCGAATGAGACCATTCAACTGATTTTTATTTACATGAGATAGC